GTTGAGCGTGGGCAGGGGGTCATTACCTTAAAATTTCAGCCTCCTAGACTCCGTGGTTCCCGAGATGTTAACTTATCCGTAAAAAACTTTCATGGGGCCGTACTTGTTACCCGCGGGTACGGGGAACCTGAATTTAAATTTGCCGCGTCACCCGTTGGTAGGGAACACCATACCAAAATTTTAGCCGCCTAGCTTTTGTGGTTCTCGAGTTGAAAGTGCGGGACAAAATGTGGGACACACACAGACACATGCACACATACACACAAACACAACGTGACAATATGCGTTTTGTAACGCTGTTACACAGCACAAAACGCATAAAAAGCAAATTAAACTGAGCGGTCCCGCAAAAAGCGAAACTTTGACATATATTTAAAGTAGCTAAAAATTGAGTAAACGACGGATTTGACTTCCTGACATGCAATTACCAATTTACCATCGAAACGAATTAACGAATCGATGAGAAGCCCCCTCTCAGGGTTGTCCCTTTGGCAGAATTGCACGCTCAACCCTCCGCACGAAAGCAGCGCTACTTATCATTATAACATGGTTTATCAGCAATAAATGAATACTTTATTCATAATGCCAAGAGATCCCTTCTTTTTCACTTCGTTTTCCTTCCCTTTTTTTCCATTTCTTCCTTTTCTACCCTTTTCTTCAACGGAAGGAAGTCAGGTGAAGATTATTTAGATTTTATAAGCCGGTTGTAGCATCCAGGTTGACTCTGGAAGCCGAAGTATCGAAGGCGCAAATGAATACAGAAAGCATGGAACAGTATAAGAAAAGAAGGCAGGAGTGAGATATTTCAGTCCATTAAGTCATATACGTCTTAACTCAACACCGCGACTGGACCTCGCAGCAGTACGACGGCCGCAATTTCTAATGGAAAAGGAAAAGAAAAGAGGAAGGTAAAGAGAGAGATGCAAGGAAAGAAAGTGAAGGGCTATGACTGTGTGATTAGCGAAGGAGTGAGAATGAGGTGAAGAAGGAACAGATAAAAGAGAAAACAAGATTTAAAAAAGATTTTAAAGAGGTTAAAAAAGATTTTAAAGAGGTTAAAAAAATTTAGATTCACGTTTAATTTAGATTAAGTTACAATTAGATTCACAGTCTTTTTTTAAAGTTAGACTTACTTTTTTGACATTTTTTTCAACTTTTGTTGCTAGGATTGGCATAAATATGTAAAGATAATTTTAAAAAAACAAGTCTAATAACGAATGATGCGAAATGAAAAAATCA